CCTGCTGCTTGGCTGTCTTTCTTCAAAGGATTCATTGCTGGTCTCCTGGTTATTGCTGATGTAACCTTTAGACAGAGTTCCTTGTTGCAGGTCACCCTCCATTTTATAGCCTCCCATCCAAGTTAAGAAACTGAATTGTTGTTAATTATTCCTGGTGCAGATCTGTCCTTACTATGTAAAGAAGTTATAAAAATCAGATAAAGTAGAGTGATCAGGATAATGTGGTAGTTAGAGTGTTTCACTTAGATGGGGAAGATGTGGATTCAGAGGCCTGTTTGGTCTTTCAAATTCAGTGGACATTTTGGGCTAGTTCAGTTGCTCTTACCTGGTTCCATTTACTACAACAAACAAAATGCTCTTGCTTAGCAAGTCAAACTGTACTGTAACTTTCTGTCTGTCTCTCGCTGGAGAACAAAAGTGTTTGCCATGATTCTTTGGGGTGGCATGTAAACACTGGCTTGGTGCATGCACAAGCACATCCTGAGAATTGCTGTAGGGACAACTTGTTTACTGGGAAGGAATAGACCACAAGTGCCAATTTGGCTTATGTTAAGCAACAGAATTTTGGCCAATGAGTTGTTGTAAGAATAAAAACAAGAATGGAGGAAAAAGTCTGGATGCCACCTTGAAGGAAGACAACACAGTGATTAATAAATAGAAAACCCATATTCAGAGCATCAGCTCATACAGCCCTTTGCAGTGTAGCCATCTCATTACAGAAATGCAAAATGGGAACAGCTACCTATTAAAACGAATAGAGCGTGAATACCTAAATCCTTGGTTCAGCCCTACTTCTGTGGTGCACTCAGTAGATGCCTTTAGATAAGCCTCCTTCTCATAAAACCTCCTTATCCACAGAATATAGTATCCACTGATATTAAAAATATTAAGAGAATTGGTTGTTGTGGGTTTTTTGGGCTCTTTGTCCGTGTTCTGAAGGTTGTTCTTCCTAACGTTTCGCCAGTCTCTGTGGCCGGCATCTTCAGAGGACAGCACTCTGTGCTCTGGTGTAGCTTGGCTTGAGAGTGCTCTCAAGCACAGAGTGCTGTCCTCTGAAAATGCCGGCCACAGAAACTGGTGAAACGTTAGGAAGAACAACCTTCAGAACACGGACAAAGAGCCCAAAGAACCCACAACAACCATTAGATCCCGGCCGTGAAAGCCTTTGCGAATACATTAAGAGAATTACTTCCCCACATGTATTACCAGAACCAGCCACTAGAGAGAGCAACAGACCATGGTATGAATAGTTAGTGAAGAATACATAGCAAGGTTTCTGGAGCCCTCTGTGACCACTTCTAGTAATGCATCTGAAAAAATATATTTTCTCTTTTGTTCCTTTTATGATGTTATACATATAGCATTCATTATTATTCATGGTTTTCAGTATCCATGGAGGACTGGAACCAATTCTCAGCAGATATAGGGGTCATACTGTAATTTCAAAATATTGAGGGTGACTTAGTGAATTTTATAAAATAGATATAAAGTGTACAATACATTTTGGTCCTAAATAACTAAATTTCAAGGTGACTTACAACATGAATTTGATAAAACAGATATAAAGAGCACAATAAATTTCAGCTCTAAACAGATTATCACATTAAAACAAGCATTGAATGAAGAATATTTCAGGGCCATTTAAGAAACACAATTAAAAAGAACTATAACACCCATCATTAAAAGACACCTTTTCATCAATCAGTAACCAAAGGCCTGCCTGAATTAATATGTCTTTGCTTGCCAGAGAAATGGGTGGAGGCTATGCTAATGCACCTGAAAATCCCAGCAGCAACTTGTTAGTTGTTTGTGCAAAGCCACTGGAAGTTATGCCATTTACCTTATGCAGGTGTAAGTAAGTAATAGGATTTTGGTTATAGAATGCACATATCCATTGTCCTCTTCCAGATTCTTACTCCCATTTGGATTTTCTTGCTGTTTAATCTCTTCCTCACTTGCCTTGTATCTAAATATACGCGTCTTCTCCTTTTGCATAGGAGACACAGAATAGAAATATCAGTCCGGATGTTTTGTCAGGACATTCCAGATGCAAGTCAGCATATCCGTGAGTGTGCATGCTGCATTCTCAATTCTTTTGAGCAGACCTGTACAACTCGATGAATGGTGCCTTTCACATTTGTGACGTTTCTCCTGCAGATCGTTGCCTTGTTTATTTTAACGGATTTCATGCTTATGCTCTATGCAGTTCATCCTACACCTGACCTCCCCAGTGGGCACAGGGAACTGCAGTATCAAGCATGCACCTGCTTTACCAAAGAGTCTGAAGCTATTCTCCCAGAAGCAACATTTGTTATACCTGTAACCTCAGAACTGAAATGTCTACAGATGAATTATGATGGTGTCACAATTCTAGTTTTGCAGTTGAAAAGCCCTAGTGGGAGCATGGGAACAGGTCAACCATTACCTTAGCAAAGAGTGAAAAACACACTTCAACAAATGTCCTGAAGGATTCCTGTTGGGAGGGAATAACCATGTTGCTTCTCTTTAGAAAGATCTGAAAGCTTGTTCCGATGTCCCTGGGGGCATATCGAGCAGTTCTGGAAGCCTCCCCAGCTACATTTAGAGGAAGCTGGAAAACATTTGACTGGTTTTGATTCACATTATGTGTGTGTTTTTGCATGCACACCTCAACCACCTCAAGCTATTCAGCAAGGAGGTCCCGGGAATGTTCAGATGTTACCTCATCCATGAACTAACTCACAAGTTAGTTTGATGACAAGCCACTATTTTATCAGCATTAGTCCTTTCTCGTCTATAGGGGAATATTAATGCTGGTCTACCTTAAAGAATTGTTGTAATGACTACTGTGAAGTCCTCTTAATGACAAAACTGCTCATGAAGATGGCTAATACTATGAACATGTTTCCAAGTTGGGATTTCTAAATAGCTTTTGATGCATATATTTTAAACCAACCATGTCAAATCTCTATTTTTGTTTGTTTGTGTAGAATGTTATTTTTGTCTAACAATTTTATTATGTATTTTTGATGCACAAGTCCCTGAAAACAAGACAAATGCACTAGTATTTATGGTCCAAAATTGCATGTTTGTTGACAACCAAGAAAAGACAAAGGTGGACAAATGTAACCCAACTTCTGGATATTGTTGGGCTGTAACACCTATGGATCCTTCCCTTTGGCAATTCTAGCTACGGTTTCTAGGAGCTGCAAGATGCTGTCTAGATACCATCAGAGGTATCTACAGAGGGCATGGGGAGCTGTCATATTCCAACTCACACCAGTTGTCCATCTAGCACGTCAGAGGGCATGGGGAGCTGTCATACTCCAACTCACACCAGTTGTCCATCTAGCACACTACAATTCTGAATGGCAATGGCTTTCCAGAGTGCGAGGCAAAACTCTTTCCTAGTTGTACCCGGAGATATCTGAAATGTCTTGGTGATTTTTCCATCCACATTAAAACCAGGCCAAAACCTGTTTACTTTTTAAAAATTGGACAAGGTCAGTGTTTTTAAGGTGTTGGCTATTCTTCATTAGGACATCCTCTGCAAGGAAAGGTTTTGTGCCATGTTTGTTTTTTGCTAGTTTAGCAAGGCAATGCTCCACCAGTTGGTGAAGAAGGTTACAAATGCAGCCACCCTGTAGTATGCATAAGTTTTTTTGTTGCTAGCTTAGCAAGGCAATACTCCACCAGTTGGTGAAGAAGGTTGCAAATGCAGCCACCCTGCAGTATGCATAAGGCTGGAGCAAGAAGAAACTACCTTCTTCACCAACTGGTGGAGTATTGCTCTCTCTCTCTCTCTCTGTTGCTAACAGCAGCATCTGCTCATGACTTGCATGTGTTAATCACCTTTCTATGTTCACAGATAGTTCAACAAAACAATAGGGGGCATTTCTTTCGATGGTGAGCCACCATCTTTAAATGGAATCTGCATATTAAGTGGCAATTGACCTCTGTCTGCTAGACATTTGGGACAAATAATGGAGGAAGTCCATCACCTCTGGGTCCTGCTTGTGAGTTCCCAGTGGCACTGGGAAAGGCATTGCTGGAGATCAATCCATTGATGTAACCCTTGGTCTGATCCGAAAGGGCAGTTCTTAGCTTCTTAGCAACTACATGTACAGTTCAAGGTGTTGTATAGAAAACCATAATTCAAGGACTGAAATAAACTGAAATATACAAACAAAATCCCTTCTATAAGTTTCACAGCTGCCTAAGGTGTATATTGTTGGTGCATTTTATTTGAGAGGATATTACATTGACCTCAGAATGACTTACCTCTAGATAAAAATGGTGAGAAATATGCTGTAGATGCAAGATTTTGCAAAAGAAAACACACAACCCACCATATTTTTTTAAAGTACTGAACGTAAGTTCTCTTGAATTATTTTTTTTTTGATAGATACCAAGGCATGAAGGTACACCACCTAATGATGTTGCTGAGTTTGGCCATCTCCAAGGGGGCATCTGGCACAGTCCAGCCAAGTTCAATGCTTATCCTACAATCCTAACCCTTAAAGTAAATTCTTCAGAAGATTTGTATTACCTTATGGAGATACTGAAGACCTAATTGTGATTCTCTTGCCTTGCTTGCACAGTATTTTTCAGAACAAAATTACAGAAGAGTGTGTCGTTCTTGCACAATACAAATGCTAGAGCAGGTGATACCTTTATTAGACCACTAAAAACAAAGAAACAGCTAGCTTTCAATATTAATCCATCTTCCTCAGGCTGTGCACCAAGAGGATAGTGAAGAAAACATATATATGAAAGTTCAAAAAAAATCATGACATATTATTATGCCAGGTCTGCTTCTTATGGTGCATGCACCAAGAGGACAGTGCAGAAAACACACACACATGTATATATGAATGTTCAAAAAAATCATGACAGATTATTATGCCAGGTCTGCTTCTTATGGTGAGTTCAAAGGCAAGCTGTAAATGCCACTGGAGGTGTGGTTAAATCCCCACCCCAGGTAGCAGTTGACTGGATTTCCCTTCCCATCTCTCCAAACAAAGAACAGCCGAACAAGTTTTTAAAATTACATGTACAGTTCAAGGTGGTGTAGAGATATTTTTCAGATATCCAGCAGAGGGTGATATTTTACAGTGTGTAGATTCAGTATCTATAAGAGCAGTGCCACTGAATGGTGCCTCTCCTCTTTCTTAAAAGAAAAGAAAAAGAAAATAAATTAATAAATGAACCAGTAAAGTGAAGAACACTCTTTAGACTCATCTTTAATGGAATGATACACATTAGCCACCATTAAACACAGAGCAACTAAATCACTTAAGCCCATTCAGATCAATTGGTTTCTACAGATAAACCTATACTAGACTGAAATCAATGAACGTTAGCACATGTCAAACTGTTGATTTTGCCCAGTGGGTATATTTACAGGATACTGCTGGGGGCATAGGGGAATGGCAGGGAAATATAGTGAATCAAAGCCTTATAATCAAGGAACTCCAGCTCCTGAGGGTTCAAAATGATTAATTTACAACAAACAACAACATGACTCCCACTTTATGAATGAAAAGTAGATGAAACTGACAAGAGGTCAGATGATAATTCTACCAGGATAATGAAAATATTGTAATGGCTTAACATTAAATTTATATTTATCTTATTCGTTCTGTACACCACCAAATAAAGATAACTTTTGAATGACGTTGTCATCACCCTTTTGCTTTCTTTGCCTCAACTTACACAAATGGTTTATTAAGATCTCAGTTCTAGTTGCTCGATTCCATGGTACCAATCCATGGCAAGAGGCATTCCTCATCTAAAGGTATGTGGTGGTTCTTTCAGAAAACAAACAGAGAATAAATTCCAAAGTTGCCTTGCTGGTTATAATTCATACACCCCAAGTCTATATTGGCCCAAGGGGACTGCCACTAGATAATTAGGCATTTTGTAAGCACAGATAACATATATTGGCTACAATTCTATTGTTATTTGTATAAGGTTTATGTAACATGCCATGGCTAGGTAAAGATAAAGGTTCCCTTTAACAAATTGTCCAGTTGTGTCCAACTCTAGGGTGCGGTGCTCATCCCTGTTTCCAAGCCATAGAGCCAGCGTTTGTCCATAGACAGTTTATGTGCTCACGTGGCCAGTGTGACTAGACACAGAATGCCATTGCTGGTCTTTTGACCTTGCAGCACAGAGGCTTCTGTGGTTTAACCCGTAGTGCTGCCATGTCCCCACCACAGCCATGGCTAATTGTAGCTAATTGATGTGATGCCAGGGCACATTTCTGTTGTGCAGCTGAGCTCATGAAATTTTATGAACTGTCATCAGAGGCAGCTTGAAAAGAATATACTGCAATTATCTAATTTGGAAGTGACTAGGGCTTTAATTACTGAATTATATCTCTTTTCCCCAAAAAACTGGTGTTAACACATTAGCTGAAACTGGCACTCTAGACCACTCCTGCTGTTCAGTCATCCAGGGGCAGAGTTGACTCCAGAAGCACATCCGAATGCAGACTGGCTTTTGTGGGTGATCCAGCCCCACTAGAAATAAGCTGCACAGTTCTCCCTAAATCATGAACATTCTTAACCACTCTGTCTGGATTAAGAATTTACCTTCATTCATTGTAAATGTGATGCCAGAGATAGGTTTAAATGTGCAGCAACTCCCTAGGATCAGGGATGGTGGGAACATGCTGACTGTAGCATGCTGTACTTCAAGGTTACAGGGATAAATGTCTCCCAGCACCAGCTTTTTGGTCTGCATCCTTCGATTTTTGGTAAACGGTTATTGGTAAATTGAACACTTCCTCTGCTCCTTGGCAGGGGAGCTAGGGAAATGATTTTTCTCTAGGAGACCACCGCTGATGTGCTGCGTTACTTATATAAAAATAAATCATGTAACATCCAGCAGCTATTAGCACCTAGGTGCCAGGCTTATCTTAAATTTCATTGGCGAATAGAAAAAGTAGAGAAGGTGAAGAATGGAACAGGAAAAGACAAGAAAGGATAATAGATAAGAAGTACAGTTACACACATATGAAGTTTGGTTTTATATGAAAGTAAGGATTGATGTGGGATAGTATGATATTTGGGTGTCTGAAGTATTGCAAAGTTTTAAATTTCTAGTAAAATTCTCTTTTTCTCTTCAGTAGAAGTACAGAGACTCACAGAAGAGAATAGCTATGAGTTCTCCAGATAGCCTACCTCTTTCTTATTAACTGGTACTTAAGATCTCAATAACCCACTCTTGACATATTTGTAGGAGAAACAATAAAAACATCTCACTACTTACATTTGTGAACAGATCAACAGCAAATAAAACAACACTGACTTCAACAGACTAAAGGGAATATTGAGCAGAAAGACAGGTAAGTAAAGGTAAAGGTTCCCCTTGACAATTTTTGTCCAGGCGTGTTCGACTCTAGGGGGCGGTGCTCATCCCTGTTTCCTAGCCATAGAGCCAGCGTTTTGTCCAAAGACAATCTTCCGTGCTCACATGGCCAGTGCGACTTAGACACGCAACGCTGTTACCTTCCCACCAAAGTGGTCCCTATGTATCTACTCGCATTTGCATGCTTTCGAACCGCTAGGTTGGCGGGAGCTGGGACAAGTGACGGGCGCTCACTCCATTGCGCGGATTCGATCTTATGACTGCTTGGTCTTCTGACCTTGCAGCACAGGCTTCTGCGGTTTAGCCCGCAGCACCACCACGTCTCTATCAGGTTTGTCTTTTAAATCAGAGGTGAGAGGAAATGATTGGTTAGCAATGGATAAATTGACAGTCACCCCAGCTCAGAAAAGTCCCTCCAAGTCACTCAAACCATAGGCAAAGTTGTAAAAACTCCAACATGAAGCAAGAAAAATAGCTTTTGAATATTGACAAAAATAAAAAAGCATGTAAATGTACTGCTGTTTGAAGGTATTCTGCTGTTGGAGGTCGTCCATCTCACTCTCTCTGATGGGAGGACTGCCCTCCCGTCTGAATGGCTAAATGGACAGATTGTCAGGCTTTGCAGCACTAGCCATAGAAGAGAAGACCATCTTCCAGTGCATCCAATTCACCCCCTCATTACATTTTGTTGTACCAGCCTCTTAAACATGGGTCAAAGACAAGCTAAAGAGGGCCAGAAACCATTAGATGGCGAGACACTCTGAGTGTTCTTATTGTGTGGGTGGGTGCGCAGAGCTTTTGCAGATAGCCATGCACATTTCCATTAGAAGACTTTCAAGGTTATTGCACTGGGAAAAACATGGGCAGCGTTTCCAGCATGTACCTCCCCTGTTTTATAGCAAACAGCCCATTCCAAACAGCCTCTCTTTTTGAGTTAAACCTTAAAATGACATTCAGTGCTGGCTCCATTTGTTCCAATTGCTGTTTTGCTTTAATCACCGCAAGGGCTTTGAACTTATTGGGACATGAATTTCATTTTCATAGATCCTTGCTTTTATGTGTCGGGGGGGGGGGATTGTGAAAACAAAGATGCTGGACCAGGACAGATGGGGGAGGTGCAAAGGACTATAAATTTGACCTTTGGGTAGAGTTGAAGGAGGAAGGTATGGTTCTTCCTTTCCCTTCTTGCCAGAATTTCTTTAATATCATCATGGAAGGCTTTTTGCAGGTGTGTTCTCCCTTGCAAGCCTGTCTGAAATAGGCTTGCAAGGAAAAATTCAGTAACTGAAAGTGCCACAGAATTCCTTTCTTTCTTTTTTTTTTAATCCCAAAATCTTGGTGCACATCCTTGGGAGATGGAGGAGGAATGTGTATCATTGGAGGGGTCTCTTCCTCTTAAAGTTTTACAAGGAACATTTAATTCAGGTTTATTAGCACTGCAGCATTCATGTGCTTATGTTAAGATGGAGACAGAATGAAGTTTGTTTTATCACATAACATTCATGGTATTTATATTTATTGTCGACTTGTTTGGATCATATTTACATGATAATTTTCAGGGGTCTCGTTCTACTCAGTTGTCTTTGTTTCGCTTTGTTTCAACTGGACTTTCTCATGGTCTGTTTTCTGTCCTCTTTTCTTCTTCATAATTCATGCTTTCTTCTTTATTATTCTCTTTTCTACTGTTATTGCTCTAAACCTGCAGCTTCTTTTTCTTCCCTTCTTTTAATGCATTTTTATTTTCTCCTTGTAATATATCAACTTTTTTGAAAGGACTGCGGATTGTTTAAAAAGACCAGATTCCTCCTGGTTCAGGAAATCAGGTAATTCAAAAGAATCAATCTCACAGTACCACCAGGGGAAAAGTTCTACCTACCCATCTCTGTATGCTTGTCACTTGTCCAACAGAGGAGCAAGGATGGCATCCGTGGTATTGGTGGTATTTGCCAGTATTCAGACCAAAGTAACTGATACTCATATAAGTGGCCATCTTGTGGTTCACAGAACATGTTTTATGTCACCGTTTGCATAATCCCATGTTGCTTCTCTCATACTCGTCATTTTGTTCTTCAAAGTCAAATGACAGTTAATAGCCACAAAACTCAGATGATACCATATAAAGAATCTGTGTGTATAGAGAGAGGGGATCAGAAGAAAAGATACTTGGCAAAAGGAAGTAGTTTTCAGAGCCATAGATGTCCTGTTCATTTATGCCAAGGCAGGTCTGCTGTGGAGCCTCGTAAACCAGGAGTACCCATAAAATTAGCACAGCTGGAGACAGCCTCCAAAGCAAAAAAAACTTCAGGAATAATTACAGAGCTCAATGTCAACTTGATGGAAAACTTGGTTTGACTTCTTACATGCTTCAAACCAATATTGATTAAACACTATTTTTTTTTGTATGCTCTTGCCACAGAAATTTTAGAAGAGGATTGCAGGGAATGTATAAAAGATGGTGAACCATAAGCTGTCTGGGGACGCTTGCAATTTTGGCCAACAACGAGGTGATTGATGGAGTAACATGTCAGCAATAAGCAGGAACCTCAAACCTCCAGCTATAATTTGCCTGGAGACAGCTCACCAGAATGTACCTTGATCACATCTTGATAACATGTGGCCAGGAAGAAAGAAAATGGAAAGCTGCAATTTTGGCATCTGCTAAAATATGTATCCTATCTATTCCAAATTACCATGCCTTGGCCAAGTTCTCATGGCCCTCAATTTGATTATGCGTTTTCAGTTCATTTTGGAAAGAAGAAAGCCTTCTACAGTTCTCATATTCTAGCCCCCAAATTA